TCACGTGACCAGTGTTTCATACCTTGTCACAGACTAGTTTGTATCCCGCGAGGCGCGCGATAGTGACGTAATACCACAGGTAACCCACAGCGCACGCCGATTCGATAACATAATATAAAAGCGTGCGCATTCATTCTTTTCTTTCTCTCAAGCAATAGTTGGGTAGCCTATGTCAAGTCCTGCTCCACCCCTCCCCCCTCTCCTCCTTCATCATGAGAGTGCCAGGTCACTAAGTTACTTCAAGATGGCGATCAAAGGTAGAAGACATAAAGTTTGCATGCAACATTTTGTACTTTTATAAACATACAAACACCATCTGTGCCATTCTTTGAAATCAGCTTTAYTAACTATGGAACTTTCTTTTATATTTCATTCGTGATCGCGTCATGGTTGACACAATCATAGCGTAAGTATTGAACTGTTTGCTTTCATCTGAGGTCTTTGTTTAGCGTAACTCAAGGCTTATTTTAAGTGTCGAAATGTTTTTTTTATTATGTAGAATTATAGCGCTGTCGTTCACTGCTGCTATTGGCATTTTACTCGTGGTTCTTGGATGTGCTTTGAAAGATTATGGGTAAGTTAAAGGCTTCTCAATATATACAGCTGCAGCTGAAACGTCATGTCRAAAAATCTTTTGCTCGATTTGATTTAAGGTAACTTACTCAAATTTCAAGATTGTCCTTAGTCATGACACAGCAATTTTTTATAATACTTTAATTATCTGTATCCTTTTACTTCACTGAACTATAACTACTAAGCTTATATTTATTTGTTTTTTTTTTTGTTTAATGTTTTTTTTTTGTACGACGCAAAAACGCATTTAGCTTAATGATCATTACAAAGTTACTAAAAATAACTCGTGACATTCATGCTATCGAATAATTTTATCATGACAGACMATTTTTCGGTCTGATTACATTTTGACACTAGCTAATATTTGTTATATTTGATTCAACAGCACTTGGTGGCCTTTGTTTGTATGTAAGTATAGGTATCATTTTACTTCTAGAATCCATATGTCAATGATTTGCCATTGCTTTTCTCRATTTTCAGTCAAATTCTCTTGCAAATAGCTTTACCATTTTTATCTTGCAGTACTTTTTTATTGTCTTGCTCCCATACCAACTATAGTAGCCAAGAGGTTATCAGAAGATTTCTCATCAAACTCATCAAAGTAAGACTGCAATATTAACATGTACTGTTAGTACATGCATAGCATAGAGTAGCATTCATATTTTTCCTGTTTCYATTCCTAGCGTTGCCAAAGAAGTATCATTTTTTATCACATCAGGAATAGTCATATCAGCTTTTGGTAAGTAGATAAATACACTGTGGTCCAAAWTAGTGGAGTCGGCTCACTAGCTAGAGCTGGTTATTACCCAGAACTTACTACTGTTTGCATAGTCCAGTCAAAACTCCACAATTTCAATCACCAATAGACGGCTGTCAATCAACTAAAGTTCTTAGAAACCAACTGCTGGTTTATTAGAAAATGGACTTCAATCTGGTTTTTACTTGACTGAATTGTTGGCAAAACATAGCGACCTGCAGCGACATTGCAAATCTGGCTGTGTCTGTCAAATAAATACCACATTTTAGAAGCAGCAATTCATTGATGTCTTGTTAATTTGCAGGATTGCCCATTGTGCTGGCYCGTTGTACTATTGTAAGTATATTAACAGTTTGATATCTCATCATTATCATCATCAAATTTATTATAATCTTTTAATTGTTACTGAATTAATCTCTGTTCATAACCAATAGGAAAGTTCATTGGACTTATTTATATTCAACAGATCGAATGGGGAGCAGTGGCCCTTGTTCTTTCAGGAAATGTGTTCATATTCTGTACAATACTGGCATACTTTCTGATATTCTCTGGTGATGACGAATGGGGATTTTAACCAGTAACACAATACAGCACTTTTAAACAACACCCAGCATTGCTGATATGGACAATAGATGATAATATGCACACTTTGAATGATGTACAGCATGGCATTTACTGTAGCTACAACCCTTTCTGGTGGAGACATGCCTATTTGTCTGGTGTTGAATTAAGTGACTAACAAAAATGTTCCATTGGTCGGTGACAATGAACAAAAGATTATTTTAATGTTGGTAGTCTTATGCCAATATTTAAGCTCACTTMACTAGCTTGAACCACTGAATTCCACCTATTGCCACAACATTAGACTATATGGAGTTTAAATCATCAACTTCTTTAATTTGATTCCTCATAAAGAACAAAAGATTGGTAAAAGTATGGAACTCTGTTGCTGAAACAGTTATTACCATTGCCATTATAGACAGCTTTTTTTAGCTAGTAAAAATAACTGTAACCACCTGGATGAGAGGAAGAGTACCGTGGTTGTGTTGATGGATTTGAATAGCTWACAATGATTTCCCATCAAAATATCCCAAACAACAAATCAAAATTGGAAACTTCTGTATGTACCACAATCTATAGACCTAGACGCTATCATAGCAAAAAAAATGTCATTTTGAAATACTTGAGAAATTTGGAAACRAAAAATTAGTCACATAATTAGTGATAAAGATGCAAAGTTTCAAGAATATAGTGTATGAATTTTTATATTTCTTTTCAGGTACAATACATTTTTTCTAAAAATGTACAAAAATTATCTTAYATCTGTGAAACCTGAAATATTTATAATCACTGTGACTAAATCGTTACAGGATTTCTTAGATGTTAAATCTAGTGTTAGCTAGCATAGACCTTTTTCTGAAATACAAARTCATGGGGCGGTGGTAGAAACAATGCCATATWTRGCAGCATGAACAAAAGATKTTTGTACCGAATCTAGACCGCAATGCAATGCAAAATATGTTTATTTTATTAMRGTTAGGTTTCTTTGTATTTCAGGGTATTGTTTAGMTTCTGCTCCATTGTTTTTATCTTTTGTTTCTATTGAATAACACAGTCTGTAGTTCTGTTATTGCTCTGGTGCACTCACAGGCCATCACGCAATCAGTGTTTCCTTGGGTGGGTGTGCAAATTCTTACTGTAACTAGCCAAAGAATGTATTCAATTGATAGATGAAGCTAATGATAGTATAAAAACTTGTAAATATTCTCTTTAAAACACTAAAACTGTTATTCCATGAATTAAAAATCACAATTAAGTTACTTGCATTTCCATTGGATTTAATTCTCTCGAGTCATCATGTTTTGTATAATTAGTCAATCTTAGCCTGAGTATCAGGGATTAACCCAATCCCCTCCAAGAGAGTCTGACAGTCAGGCTAATTCTCTAGTTTGCAAACACAGAGACAGAAAATAAAGGCAGTCAACTGCCCTGTCTACAACAGAAGGTGGACAAGGCAGCTTACCTCCTAAGAATTCATAGCAAACCAGGATAGAAGCAAAGAACATGAGCCAATAGTTTTGCTCTTAATTTAACATTGCATTAACAGCCTCAATGTAAAATTGTTTTCTAGACTCGCGGACCTATTAAATTTTGCATAGGCTGTTACTAAATAAAAGAATGACATGGTTCCGAGGC